TACCAAGCAAAAATATTTGTTTCTCTCTCTCTTTAGCAAGTTTCAGAATTCAGGGAAGCAAGGAACGGAAAGCACCAGCTAGAGCCAGACAGCCTTTGTGAAAGGGCTGTGAAGACTCCAACAGCTCTCTAGATGCCCTTCAATCTTGCTTTAGAGCACCCACTGTCATCTCAGTCCTGCCCATCCTGTGCAGTGCACTGCTCTACTGTTCCCCTCAGTTCTGACCTCCTCCCCACTACTGGACTGCTAAGCTTCCTTCAGGGCTAGGAGAATGCATCTTAGCTTTGTTTCCGTTGAAGAGAACGGAGCGTGCTGGTGTTTGGGAGGAGAGAGTTCACATGTGACCATTTGCTTACAGTCCCCAGATATGATACAGCGGCAGAAAGGAGGCACCTGTTTTCTGTGCATACAGAGCATTCTGTTCAAGAGAACAAATGCCCCTCCTGCACATTCCAGGGGCTTCATTCTCTGCCTTCCCATACAAGCTCATTTGAACTTTAGGGGTTACAGTTATTCTGCAGGGCTGATGAACGCTCTATAGTTGTCAAAGGTGAATCCAGCTTTATTCTTTTCAGGGAAAAAGGTACCCAACACCTTCGGGGACCTGCTCAGCATGTACACTTCATGGAGGAGTAAAATCTCTTCCAAATATAGGTCTCCTCCCTACCACAATGCCTCCAAGCAAAAGGCTGCATGTCAAAGACTGTACAGGTTCCACTTCTGCAAGGGTTTGATCTAGAGTAATAATATTCACCCACCCTCCCCAGGGAGCCTGGGGGATAGTAAAAGGTCTCTGAGGACAGCACCATTTCACAAGCCTGGAAGATTCCAATAAGACATGCAGTTGCATGATCTGCTTCTTTTTCAGCTTTTTCTTTGAGCTGCTGGGAGACGCTGAAGCAGAGACCTGCTGTTCTTAAGTCCACAGCCTTCCAGGACCAGCCCTGCCTCCTCCGTTTTGCTATGATGTTTTACGAAGCAGCCAGTGAGAGACTCCTCAGGCTAGTAACCAGCCTCCTTGCATCACTGAACAAGAAGAGCTGGTGCATAGACATGTGTCTGGTAACAGAAGCAAGAGCCTGTGTTCAGACAAGGAGACTCCCACGTGGAGACGTTTCATAAGCAACAAGGAGTCTGGTGGCACCTTAAAGACTAACAGATTTATTTGGCCATAAACTTTCCTGGGTGAAACACCCACTTCTTCAGATGCATTTGGGCATAAGCTTTCGTGGGTAAAACACCACTTCTTCAGATGCATGCATGCATGCAACTGAAGAAGTGGCGTTTTACCCATGAAAGCTCATGGCCAAATAAATCTGTTGGTCTTTAAGGTGCCACCAGACTCCTAGTTGTTTTTGTGGTTACAGACTAACACAGCTAACCCCTGATACTTGGTTTCATAAGCATGCGCTCTAGAGGAAAGACTTACACATTTCATGTCTTTTTGGCTGGGGGGAAAGAAGCCTAGTATTTCACTCAAATCTCATCAGGGAGGACACCCCCAGCCACAGAAATGCTGCATTACACCAGAGCACCTACTACAGCAACAGAAAAAATAAATGTATCTCCACTCCTCACCAGCCTGCTCTGGGTAATTGCACCTTTATGCCATGGAGCCTTCCAGGGGCCAAGCCTCACCACTACCTCAGTAAGACTCAGTCAGTAGGAGAGAACAGGATAATTATTGCCTCAGCATGCATGACATAAAACCCCCAGCAGGAGGAGAACAAAAAACAGTCACAGGGTAAAACAAGGAGGGAAATTGTTCCAGTTACAGGGCAGCATCAGAACATAGCAGCAGCCATACTGGGTTGGACCAATGGTCCATCTAGCCCAGTGTCCTGTCTGCTGACAGCAGCAGGTGCCTTGTACACCAGAGGGAATGAACAGAACAGACAATTATCGAGTGATCCATCCCCTGTCGTCCACTCCCAGCTTCTGGTAATCAGAGGCTGAGGACACCCAGAGCATGGGGTTCCATCCCCGCCCATCCTGGCTAACAGGCATTGATGGACCTAGCCTCCAGGAACGTATGTAGTTCTTTTTTGAACCGCATTTTAGTTTTGGCCTTCACATCATCCCCTGACAATGAGTTCTACAAGTTGTCTGTGCATTGTGTGAAGTAGTACTGAATGCAGTATTCAAGGTGTGGGCATACCATGGATTCATATAAAACGGTTACCTACCTTTCATAACTGTTGTTCTTCGAGATGTGTTGCTCATGTCGATTCCATTCTAGGTGTGTACGCACCCAGATGTGCAGCAGAAGATTTTTGCCTTAGTAGTATCCGTAGGGTTGGCAATGGCGCCCTCTGGAGTGCCACGCTCATGCATTGGTATATCAGGCGCTGCCGGTCCTACGCCCTCCCAGTTCCTTCTTGCCAGTAACTCCGACAGAGGGGCAGGAGGATGGGTAATGGAATCGACAGGAGCAACACATCTCGAAGAACAACAATTATGCAAGGTAGGTAACGGTTTTGCCTTATTCGAGTACTTGCTCATGTCGATTCCATTCTAGGTGACTCTCAAGCAGTATCCCTGTGGCAGGCTCAGAGTTCACAGTCATGGGGCTTGCAACACTGCTCTGCTAAAGCCAGCATTGTCTTGGGCTTGCTTGGTGAGTGCACAATGAAATGTAAACGTCTGTATAGACAACCAAGTAGCAGCCCTGCAGATATCCTGAAATGGCACCTGGGCCAGGAAGGCTGCCGACAAAGTCTGAGCCCTAGTCGAGTGTGCAGTCACGGTTGCCAATGGAGGCACTTTTGCCAGGTCATAGCAGTAACAGATGTAGGCTGTGATCCAGGACTAAATCCTCTGTGAAGACCCTGGGTGACCTCTCATCCTGTCTGCCACTTCAACCAACAATTGCGTTGACTTACAAAATGGCTTGATGCTGTCGATGTAGAAGGCAAGCGCCCTCCTGATGTCCAGGGTGTGCAATTTGTGCTCCTCTTCTGATTTGTGAGGCTTCGGAAAGAAGACAGGTAAGTATATGTCTTGGCTGGTATGAAACTGTGAAACCACCTTGGGCAGGAACACTGGATGCAGTTACAGCTGGACCTTGTCCTTGTAGACCACTGTATAGGGTGGCTCTGAAGTAAGCACCCTGATCTCAGAGACCCTATGGGCACACATTATTGCAACCAGGAAAGACTTTCCAGGAGGAGGAGGAGGAGAAGGAGAAGGGAGCAGGAAGCTAAAGGCTCGAAGGGAGGACCCATGAGCCATGACAGCATGAGAATTCAGGTCCCAGGGAGGGACCAGATCCCTGGGTAGAGAGGCTCCAGACCTTTCAAAAACCGGACCGTTATGTCGTGAGTGAAAACTGACTTGCCCTGGAGCAGAGGGTGGAAGGCAGAAATAGCAGCCAAGTGGACTTTGATTGAAGATAAGGACAACCCCTGCAGCTTGAGCTACAGAAGATAGTCCAGGATCACCTGCAGTGAGGCCTACTGAGTCCGGATACCCCGGTCTGAGGCCCAGCATGGGAACCTCTTCCACTTGGCCAAGTCGGTTGCTCTGGTGGAGGGCTCTCTGCTACCCAGCAAAACCTGCTGGGCCTGGGCTGAGCATTCTGTTCGTCTGCATTTAGCCAGAGAGGCAGCTGCTGTGGGGGGACCACTGAAAGGTTTATCAGCGGGCTGAACCCTTGCTGCCAAGGCTATGCAGGAGCGGCCAGAATAGCCTTTGCCCTCTGCTGTTTACTCTTCATGAGGACTCTGTGGATTAGTGATACCGGCAGGAAGGCATACATCAGAGCCTCCGAACATGGGAGCAGAAAGACATCTGACAGGGAGCCCCTGTCCAATCCCCGGAATGAGGAGAACGCATGGCATTTCCTGTTCTGATGGGATGTGAACAGGTCCACCTGTGGAGTCCCCCACCTCCGGAAGATAATGCTGACCGCCTCCGGGTGGAGCAACCACTTATGATGAGACGAGAAGGTCCTGCTGAGGCAATCTGCTACCACGTTCTTGGCTCCAGGCAGATGCATGGCCACCAGATGGATGGCATGCCACACACACAAGCCCCAAAGGTGGAGAACTTCTTGGCAAAGGGTAACACATCGCCGCAGTATTGTCTGTCAGAACCTGCACTACCTTGCCCTTCACATAGGGCAGGAAAGCCTAGCAGGCCCGGCAAACCGCTTTGAGCTCCCTGATCGTCCCACGACAAGGCGGCCTTGCGTGCTGAGCTCCCAGTGGGCTCCCCAGCCCAGGTCTGAGGCATCAGAAACCAGGGTCAGCAACAGGGCCAGGGTCGCGAAGGGAACTCCCACACCAATTTGGGGCTCAATCACCAATCTACAGACTATCAGATGTAAACCGGCACGCATACCACCCAATCTAGATCGTGTCTGTTGGAGATGAAGACCGACACCAACCACGCTTGCAGTGGCCAGAGATGGAGGTGGGCTTCCTGGACCAGGTACGTACACGTGGCCGTGTGGCCTAACAACCACATGCAGGTGTGAGCCGTGGTGAGCAGGTAGTTTTTCCATATGGGAGATCAGGTCCGACATGGCCTGGAAACATGCCTCTGGAAGGAAGGCTCTGGCTTGCGTGGAGTTGAGAACCACCCCAACGAACTCTATTCTTTGCTCCAGCCTTAAGGTTGATTTCTTTTAGCCCTGGTCTACACTAAGCCCTGGTCTATACTAGGACTTTAGGTCGAATTTAGCAGCATTAAATCGATGTAAACCTGCACCCGTCCACACGATGAAGCCCTTTATTTCGACTTAAAGGGCTCTTAAAATCGATTTCCTTACTCCACCCCTGACAAGTGGATTAGCGCTTAAATCGGCCTTGCCGGCTCGAATTTGGGGTACTGTGGACACAATTCGACGGTATTGGCCTCCGGGAGCTATCCCAGAGTGCTCCATTGTGACGCTCTGGACAGCACTCTCAACCTCAGATGCACTGGCCAGGTAGACAGGAAAAGAACCGCAAACTTTTGAATCTCATTTTCTGTTTGGCCAGCGTGGCAAGCTGCAGGTGACCATGCAGAGCTCATCAGCAGAGGTGACCATGATGGAGTCCCAGAATCGCAAAAGAGCTCCAGCATGGACCGAACGGGAGGTACGGGATCTGATCGCTGTATGGGGAGAGGAATCTGTGCTATCAGAACTCTGTTCCAGTTTTCGAAATGCCAAAACCTTTGTCAAAATCTCCCAGGGCATGAAGGACAGAGGCCATAACAGGGACCCAAAGCAGTGCCGCGTGAAACTGAAGGAGCTGTGGCAAGCCTACCAGAAAACCAGAGAGGCGAACGGCCGCTCTGGGTCAGAGCCCCAAACATGCCGCTTCTATGATGAGCTGCATGCCATTTTAGGGGGTTCAGCCACCACCACCCCAGCCGTGTTGTTTGATTCCTTCAATGGAGATGGAGGCAATACGGAAGCAGGTTTTGGGGATGAAGAAGATGATGATGATGATGAGGTTGTAGATAGCTCACAGCAAGCAAGCGGAGAAACCAGTTTTCCCGACAGCCAGGAACTGTTTCTCACCCTGGACCTGGAGCCAGTACCCCCCGAACCCACCCAAGGCTGCCTCCTGGACCCAGCAGGCAGAGAAGGGACCTCTGGTGAGTGTACCTTTTAAAATACTATACATGGTTTAAAAGCAAGCATATGAAAGGATTACTTTGCCCTGGCATTCGCGGCTTTCCTGGATGTATTCCCAAAGCCTTTGCAAAAGGTTTCTGGGGAGGGCAGCCTTATTGCGTCCTTCATGGTAGGACACTTTACCACTCCAGGCCAGTAACACGTACTCGGGAATCATTGTGCAACAAAGCATTGCAGTGCATGTTTGCTGGCGTTCAAACAACATCCGCTCTTTATCTCTCTGTGTTATCCTCTGGAGAGTGAGATATAATTCATGGTCACCTGGTTGAAACAGAGTGCTTTTCTTAAGGGGACACTCAGAGGAGCCCGTTCCTGCTGGGCTGTTTGCCTGTGGCTAAACAGAAATGTCCCCTGCTGTTAGCCATGGGGAGGGGGGAGGGTTGAGGGGGTAGCCACGCGGTGGGGGGAGGCAAAATGCGACCTTGTAACGAAAGCACGTGTGCTATGTATGTAATGTTAACAGCAAGGTTTACCCTGAAAGAGTGTAGCCACAGTTTTATAAAATGTGTCTTTTTAAATACCGCTGTCCCTTTTTTTTTCTCCACCAGCTGCATGTGTTTCAATGATCACAGGATCTTCTCCTTCCCAGAGGCTAGTGAAGCTTAGAAAGAAAAAAAAACGCACTCGAGATGAAATGTTCTCTGAGCTCATGCTGTCCTCCCACACTGACCGAGCACAGACGAATGCGTGGAGGCAAATAATGTCAGAGTGGAAGAAAGCACAAAATGACCGGGAGGAGAGGTGGCGGGCTGAAGAGAGTAAGTGGCGGGCTGAAGACAGGGCTGAAGCTCAAATGTGGTGGCAGCGTGATGAGAGGAGGCAGGATTCAATGCTGAGGCTGCTAGAGGACCAAACCAGTATGCTCCAGTGTATGGTTGAGCTGCAGCAAAGGCAGCTGGAGCACAGACTAGGACTACAGCCCCTGTGTAACCAACCGCCCTCCTCCCCAAGTTCCATAGCCTCCACACCCAGACGCCCAAGAACGCGGTAGGGGGGCCTCTGGCCAACCAGCCACTCCACCACAGAGGATTGCCCAAAAAACAGAAGGCTGGCATTCAATAAATTTTAAAGTTGTAAACTTTTAAAGTGCTGTGTGGCATTTTCCTTCCCTCCTCCACCACCCCTCCTGGGCTACCTTGGTAGTCATCCCCCTATTTGTGTGATGAATGAATAAAGAATGCATGAATGTGAAGCAACAATGACTTTATTGCCTCTGCAAGCGATGATCGAGGGGAGGTGGTTAGCTTACAGGGAAGTAGAGTGAACCAAGGGGCGGGGGGTTTCATCAAGGAGAAACAAACAGAACTTTCACACCGTAGCCTGGCCAGTCATGAAACTGGTTTTCAAAGCTTCTCTGATGCGTACCGCGCCCTCCTGTGCTCTTCTAACCGCCCTGGTGTCTGGCTGCACGTAACCAGCAGCCAGGCGATTTGCCTCAACCTCCCACCCCGCCATAAACGTCTCCCCCTTACTCTCACAGATATTGTGGAGCACACAGCAAGCAGTAACAACAGTGGGAATATTGGTTTCGCTGAGGTCTAAGCGAGTCAGTAAACTGCGCCAGCGCGCCTTTAAACGTCCAAATGCACATTCTACCACCATTCTGCACTTGCTCAGCCTGTAGTTGAACAGCTCTTGACTACTGTCCAGGCTGCCTGTGTACGGCTTCATGAGCCATGGCATTAAGGGGTAGGCTGGGTCCCCAAGGATAACTATAGGCATTTCAACATCCCCAACAGTTATTTTCTGGTCTGGGAAGAAAGTCCTTTCCTGCAGCTTTTGAAATAGACCAGAGTTCCTGAAGATGCGAGCGTCACGTACCTTTCCCGGCCATCCCACGTTGATGTTGGTGAAACGTCCCTTGTGATCCACCAGAGCTTGCAGCACTATTGAAAAGTACCCCTTGCGGTTTATGTGCTCGGCGGCTTGATGCTCCGGTGCCAAGATAGGGATATGGGTTCCGTCTATGGCCCCAACACAGTTAGGGAATCCAATTGCAGCAAAGCCACACACTATGACCTGCACGTTTCCCAGGGTCACTACCCTTGATATCAGCAGATCTTTGATTGCGTGGGCTACTTGCATCACAGCAGCCCCAGCAGTAGATTTGCCCACTCCAAATTGATTCCCAACTGACCGGTAGCTGTCTGGCGTTGCAAGCTTCCACAGGGCTATCGCCACTCGCTTCTCAACTGTGAGGGCTGCTCTCATCTTGGTATTCATGTGCCTCAGGGCAGGGGAAAGCAAGTCATGAATATCGCCCGGTATCGCTTTGCCAGGTTCTGGTGCTGCATATACTGCTGGATAATGCGTGTGGTGTTTAATGTGCTCCTAATTGCCAAAGTGAGCTGAGCGGCCTCCATGCTTGCCTTGGTATGGCGTCCGCACAGAAAAAAGGTGCGGAACGATTGTCTGCTGTTGCTCTGACGGAGGGAGGGGCGACTGACGACACGGCTTACAGGGGTGGCTTCAGGGAGCTTAAATCAACAAAGGGGGTGCCTGTACATCAAGGAGTATTTCAGGCAGGACTTCACGGAGGGTTCCAATAAGAAATGGTGCACCTAAGTTATTGTTCTTATTGGAACAAGGAGGTTAGCCTGGCCTCTGATTGATACATGGCTAGATTTACCTCGCTGCACCTTCTCTGTGAGTGACTGCAGTGTGACCTAGAGGAATGAGTCCCCTAGCCGGGGGAGGAGGCAAATGAGTACAAAACAAATCTGGTCTATTTCTTGTTTTGATCCACTCCATCTATCTTTTACATCTTTGGCTGGCAGCAGACTGTGCAGAAGGACTGCATGCCATCCACATCTCATGGCTGCTCAGCAGAAGATGGTGCATTAGGACTGCTAGCCATCCTCATCTCTTGCCTGCCCGGCAGAAGATGATGCAATAGGACTGCTAGCAATCCGTATCACCTGCCTGCTCACCATAAGACAGTTCAATAGGACTGACTGCAGGACTAAAGAGAATGACCTGGTCAAGTCACTCCAAATTTAGTCCCTGTGCCCATGTCTGCCCAGGCGCTCCCAGCCGACGTGGCCAGGAGCACCTCGGACATGACAAGGACGGCTACCAGTCGTACTGTACTGTCTGCTGCCACAAGGCAATGGGTTGCTGCTACTGTGTAGCAATGCTGTACCGCGTCTGCCAGTACCCAGGAGACATACGGTGACGGTTACCTGAGCGGGCTCCATGCTTGCCGTGGTATGGCGTCTGCACAGGTAACTCAGGAAAAAAGGCGCGAAACGATTGTCTGCCCTTGCTTTCACGGAGGGAGGGAGGGAGGGAACGGGGGCCTGACGATATGTACCCAGAACCACCCGCAACAATGTTTTAGCCCCTTCAGGCACTGGGATCTCAACCCAGAATTCCAATGGGCAGTGGAGACTGCGGGATCTGTGAGATAGCTACCCACAGTGCAACGCTCCGGAAGTCGACTCTAGCCTCGGTACTGTGGAAGCACTCTGCCGAGTTAATGCACTTAGAGCATTTTCTGTGGGGACACACACACTCAAATATATAAAACCGATTTCTAAAAAAATGACTTCTATAAATTCGACCTAATTTCGTAGTGTAGACATACCCCTAGTTTATGGTCAACAGGCCCAGATCGCAGCAGGTGGAACTAACCAGTTCAAGGCTCCTCTGCACCTGTCCAAGATCTGCCCTTGATGAGCCAATCGTTGAGATATGGATAGACCTGAACCCCTCAATGCCTGAGGTAAGTAGCCACTGTGCCATGTAATGGACTGACTGAGGCATCAGCACCACAGGCATGCCCCACGCGCCCCAGTAGGTCCGTTGCACCAACCACTGGCCTCGCTGCCCTGACGCCATCACGGAGGTCGATGCAGCCTCAGGTGCCCAATCATGCTGATGCTGTCGCGTTAAAGTGCTGAATTTCCTTTCTGAACTAGAGGAATCACCTTCCGGTGACCACGGAGGGGACATTGAAGCTTGCGTCTGTCGCCACAGGAGACCGGTGTCTCAAGTAGGTGGATTGGGGACAGGGGGATCAGTACCGTGACGCAGACCGCTCCCGCGGTCTAGGAGACTGGGATCTGCACCGAGGAGACAGCTGGTGGAAGGATGATTGGTGCTGGCGATATGGTGACCGGTGCCTTCCTCTAGACGACCCGCATCAAGAAGGTGGAGACGGTGAGTGCGGTGCCAGAGATCTAGGTCATCCCGCAGAAGACAGAGACCTGGAGCATGCAGAGCACTGTGTCATCTCTGGAGACTGGCATCATTCGCCCACCCTCTGGGCGGTCTTTACGGCTGGTTTGCCCTCACCAGGAGCCTTTGCCTGTGACCTGCGACACATGCGGTCCTGATAGAGGCCTCTGCTCTCTGGGAGCCGGGAGAGCCTGGAAAGGCATCGACCCTGCCACCAGTCTGCGTCCCCTACTGTTCCCTGGAGTCAGTGGAAGATTCCTTGGGGGACTAAGGGGACACATCGGCGTGGGGCGTCCCCATGTGGCTCTGATGTGGGCTGTTGGCCTGAACTGGGCCCTTTGCCCTTCTTGCTCAGTGCCAGGGAGTCACCCTTCTTCGACTTCCTCTTAGGCTCTGGTGCCAGGGGTGTGCTGTGTGCCAAGGTGCTTGGGGCAGAGTCTAGCCAGAAGGCTCAGATGCCGGGCGGACAGCAGCCTCCATGAGAAAGATGGTCTCACTCTTTCTGAGTTCTGGGGCGAAAGTTCTTACAGATGCGACACTTCTCCTTCACATGCGATTCCCCCAAGCATTTGAGGCAGCTGCTATGGGGGTCATAGGGCTGTTGCAGTCAGAGCAGGGCTTAAAAACTACTTACAAACTAACTACTTGTAAACTATTTACAAGGCCTAAGACTCGAGCCCTTGAGAGGCAAGGGAAAGGTGCTCTGACTAACCACCACGGGCGGTAGGAAGGAACTGGGAGGGTGTAGGGCCGGCAGCGCCTAATATACTGATGCGTGAGAGCGGCACTCAAGAGCGTGACCCTACAAATACCGCTAAGACAAAAATCTCAGATGGCCGTGCACGTGGGCACGTGCGCTCCTAGAATGGAATCGACATGAGCAACACATCTTGAAGAAGAAAACGATTATTTTCTAGTTTATTATCTATCCCTTTTCTAATGATTCCCAACATTCGGTTCCCTTTTTTGGCTGCCGCTGCACATTGAGTGAATGTTTTCAGAGAACTATCCACGATGACTCCAAGATCTTTTTCTTGAGTGGCAACAACTAATTTAGACCCCATCATTTTGTATGTATGGTTGGGATTATGTTTTCCCATGTGTATTACTTTGCATTTATCAACATTAAATTTCATCTGCCATTTTGTAGCCCAGTCACCCAGTTTTGTGAGGTCCCTTTGTAACTCTTCGCAGCCTGCTTTGGACTTAACTATTTTGAGTAGTTTTCTATAGTCTGCAAACTTTGTCACCACAATGTCACCCCCTTTTCCAGGTCATTTATGAATATGTTGAATAGGACAGGTCTCAGTACAGATCCCTGGTGGGCATCTGGGGGATGTCCACCGGAGGGGAGGGATAGCTCAGTGGTTTGAGCATTGGCCTGTTAAACCCAGGGTTATGAGTTCAATCCTTGAGGGGGCCATTTAGGGATCTGGGGCAAAAATTGGGGATTGGCCCTGCTTTGAGCAGGGGGTTGGACTAGATGACCTCCTGAGGTCCCTTCCAACACTGATATTCTATGATTCTATGACACTGCTGTTTACCTCTCTCCATTCTGAAAAATGACCATTTATTCCTACCTTTTATTTCCTGTCATTTAACCAGCAGGGAAAGTCTGGGGCTTCAACTGAAAGCACAAACCTGGATGAATAAAGTGCTCCCTTCCTGCGAGAGGAGAAGAGTTGCACTTAGCAACAGGCATGGAATTCCTCATTTACTGGACTTTTCTACTCATCCTTGCTCTAAACAGCTGGTTACCAGGTGTAAGTCATCATCTGGAGTCATGGCCTGTGTCCTGGGGAATGGCTCCTTTCTGAACTCCAGAACCGAAGGCTGCACACTGTAGCCCATAGAGCTAGCGTTAGCGTTTATTTTATTCAGCAGTAATGCAAGGAAAACTACAGACCTGTCTCGTGTGCCAAAACAGACACACACAAATATAGGCTTGAGGTCTATACACTTTGGCACACATGAATGGCCTGACGATCACCCCTGAGTTTGGGGGAACTGGGAACAGAGTGTAAAAGAGGGGGGATTGTCCATAACACCACCAGCCAGCCACAGGAACATGAGCTAACATTGGCTTTTGGATATTTTAGGACGGGAACGTCTGCAGATGTGTTACTACAAGAGTGCCATGGCAACGAACCGACGTATATGATAATAAGTTGAGATCATTAACATCCTAACCTATAGGAGAAGGGCCTCCCAACATTAGTAATGTGAGGAATACAAATAAGGAAGAGGGGAGAAACCTCGCTGAATATGCATTAGACAGAGTGGTGTCAGCGTAACAGGTTACAAAAGTTGTGTCCCAGCGTGGGGGCAAGAGGAGAGCGAGATACAGCCCTTGGGAGGTGCCAGGATGATGGCCACTGGTGATGATGAGGAAGGTGATGGTGATGAGGAAGATGATGGCTAACATTTCAGTTTGTTCTGCAAGGGATGGCATGAGTAAATGGATGTTCTGATGCATGTTCTGTATTATCTCTATCTACCTTGCTGGGTTAGAGTGTTTGTGACTTTGCTAAATGTACTAATAAACTATTACAAATACACACAGGTTCCTAAAGAGTGAACGCTGCAGCTGTGCCCTTCGGGGTTCCCAACTGAACAGTAATTTTAACAATACTGGGCCTGATCTCGGGACGAGAACTTGTCAAACCTCAGAGTGATCACTGGAAATTCTTAAGTAACCAACACAATGAATATCAGATTCATAGATCAGGCTACAACACACATAAGGAGAGTGAACTAAGGAAACGTTGATTTCCTTGAACTGGGAGCACAGAGTCCCTGGCCTGTGAGGGTGGAGAAAGCAGTACTGCTTGCCTTTTCGCAACTCAGATGTAACTGACACAGTGAAATGGTTACATTCTGACCCAACAGATCCCCAATGGGTGGAACTCCCCCTCCCCACAACCCCCAGGCCCTGTCAATGGAGCGAAGGGGTGAGATGGGGAGATTTCCATGAGTGCTGCTGGCCTTTGTCATCCTCTGACAATAGCTTTGCAAAAAAGCAAAATCTTCCCATGCTCAGGAGCCGAACTGCACAGGCCAGGGCTTGTGCCAGACGGGATCAGATCTTTGGTCCCTCCAGCCCAGTATCCTGCCTCAGGCAACAGCCAGTACCCAAACCTTAGGGGGAAGGAAATCCTATAACACACCTTGCTAGTTGTATGCTGTGCAGGTAAGAGGTGTGGGGATCTGACCCAGCAGCTCCCTAACAACCCATTCTTCAGAGGACAGCCCCAGTACTGAGGCAGCTGCCTGCTGGTAAATGGACTGAAAAGGAGCGGGGAGGTAGAAAAGCTTGGACCTACCTTCACTCCATCCGACTTCTTGTTCAATAGGCTTTTGGTAGCTGCAGAGAAAAACAGGACAAGGTGGTGAGGGTTTGGTTTTAAATCTCTCTTCCCTTCCCTTCCAGATTGCACAAGAATTAAAGGGACAACCCCCTGCTAATTTCTCTTGGTAATGATGAAAGCAGCAGAGGTCAAACTGTTGTGTCGCTACCCATCACAATCAGATCGAGAGAAGGAAGGTAGCCTGCCCTTTCTATTCAACAGTTAGTGTTAAGCCAGCAACTCTCCCACCCTCCCTAACCTCACTGAGATCCAGTGTCCAACAGTGCAGAGCTCCCAAGGTGATTTTATTTCAAGTCCTCTACTCTCTCATAGCCTCCCCTTCCTCCAAAGGTGACAGCCATTACAGAGAATAAGCTGAAGACATCCGTCAGATTCTAGTATCCGGACAGAGATTTTCCCTCAAGTACAGCTATTTACATAAGGGAGACTTTATTTATGAAGTGGCGGGGGGAGGTGTCGATAATGCAAAGAAATCCTAATCACTGCCAAGATGCAAAATTACCCAGAGGAATGTCTGGGATAATGGCAAGTAATAAAATGGGATCGAGGACTTTGGTGGGGAAGGAGCAAAGGCAGCACTGCCAGCTTGTAAAGAGAGAGAGTGAAAAAAGAAGAGAAGGGAAGGCTGAATTTCTTCATTGACGGTGATGGAAGCTCTGCCATGCTTGGTCTGAACAACTAGAACTGAGAAACCAACAGACAGACAGACACACACACAGGAGGAGGGAGGAGGAGTATCTGGCAGTGCACGAGAGAGAGAGATAGTCACACACCCAAAGTGTGCGCATCTGGCCATGTGCACATATGATCAGGGTAGGCGGGGCTTGCACGTGCAACAGGAAAGTGACACATTAACAATGGTTGTCAGCAATAGGCCTCCCTGCCTCCATTCTCAGTGTATACAGAACAGTTTGGTTAACTCTCGTGGATGGTGCCCAGCTGTTTCCACTCCCTTGGCAAGAAGCTGCTGTGACAAGGAGTTGACATGCCTTTCCTAAGCAGCTATTTAAAAGTGTGTGGCCTCATCAGCATGAGCAGGCACCAGATTGGGATGCGGATGCTAACCACAGTGAGGACACGGACAAAGAGACAGAAAGAGAGAGGAAGAGGAAGTGACAGAATGTGCAACACCAAACCTGCCTTGCTTAGAACCTCTGATGAAACACTCCATTGTCCTACCACTCCCAGAAGATGTGCTGGTAAACTGGCACTCACGCTTTTCTCTGGATTTGTCCACAATTAGACAAGAAGGCATTGCAACAAACCAGCAGCTGCAAGGCCTTGAGACTGAAATACCTGTGTAACTCTTCAACTCCACACCCATACACCTCAGCTATCCCACATGGCCGACAGACTTTACTTATACTGGTTAGACAACACCTGGGACAAAACTTTTTGCTCAGCTCAGGCTGAAATGGTGCAGACAACAGCTGCTTCTCTCCAATACCAAGAAAATAACACCATAAACTTGGCAACTGCCATGGCTGAGCTGGTCCTAACTCTACTCCATAATGCAAGCATCTCACGTCTGGAATTTGCCTTAAAGCTCCAGCTCCCAAAAACAGCACAGAGCAGGCCTGCACTACTGCCCCATGTCCTGGGGGCCCAGGAACAAGCTGGGAGTCTGCTGATTCTTCACTCTCCACACTTCCCAACACTCCCATTTACCTCTGTAGACAGGTAAAACATTATGAAGTTACACCAGAGACCACGGCTTCCGCAGACAGCTTCCCCACCTGCTTACACTAGCCGGGCCTCTGGTGGAGATAGTCTTTCCACCTGCCCCAGGCATTGTGGATGCCAGCCTAGCCTCTAGCAGAGAACACCTCCCACCCAGCCCAGCACCCTGCAAAGCAGGCATGGGCCCTGGAAGACACAGCTTCCCCTCCCATCCCTCTGCTGGTACCCACTGTGATCTCAGCATGTCAGTTACATACAGTTCTCTCACAGTCCAGTTACTAGTTCAGCAGTGAAGAAAGAAATTCAGTTGGTTGCTCATTTAGCTCATGCATCATCATGATTTGTAAGGATACTCTGAGGATACAGGAGATGCACACTCTCACAGTGACAAAGAGGCGGCAGACATCCCAAGCAAAGCAGACACTACGTAATTTACCCACTGGTTAATCTGTACACATTATCCGACAGAAATCAGAGGATGTGGGTGGGATTCCTGCAGCTAGCGACAGACAGACAGGACTTACTTCTTTAATGAGAGGAGCAGACAAGCAATCCCCAGCATTCAACACAGGAGATATCAGGGAAATGTGTGGGGGACCCCTTTAAGTTTAGCAAAGGTCTTGTGCACCCATACTTTGCTGGTTTCCAAGCATGGGTCACTGACCGCATCCCTCCCCACCTCCTCTATGTAAGGAGATTCAAAACCCCCTTCCCTCCACAGTGCTGTTAAGAGCCCCTACTGAAAGTCCTATAATTTAACATGTATTTCTATTACTGGTTTAGCATCTCTTCATTAATCTCTGATGAGAAGCACAGAGCACAACCTCTGTCCCCCACCCCCTCTGCCGGCCAGGCACATCTTGTTTTAGTCTCTGACAAAAATGAAAGGCAGCCCCTTAGGCTCACAGTCTTGGCATTAAGAGTCACAAACCCATCATGCTGAACTCATCAGCAATGAACACTGGACACACTGGATGTGCTGAGGGGCAGCGTTTCACATGGGACCAAAATACCAACTCCAAACAATGCCATGGAATGCTTCTCCGAGCCCCATTCCTCTCACTCTTCTTTCTCAACGACAGTCCTTTGGTCTGTGTGCTCTGCAGTCGCCTTACCTCCAAGTGGCAGGCCTCAGGTCATGCCACACGTCAGTGATTGCCAGTCCCAATTTGGCCACCCAGAAATTCATGACTTCCATCCCTACACTTAGTTCACTAACCAACACTGGCTCTCTCAGCCCTGCAGCAGTACAGGGCTGAGACACTGTTACGGTCTCAAGCTGCCAGGCATTGTTGGGGGGTGGTGGGAAGGAAGATCACTGAATTTAGCTTTGTGAAATCTGACTGCTCCACAGTAGCCTGACAGAGAGCTTTTCTTCTTGCTTTAAGACAATATTGTACTGGGAACAGAAACCCTAGGGCTCTCTACTGTCCTAATTCACCCCATTTTACAGAAGAATTGGAAGCAGAGGGGAACCCAGTTCCATGTTCTCCTAGGACACAGTAGCTGTTTATTTCAGAGAAACCTGCCATTGCAGGGTAACAATCAACCTGATCCATCTCAGTACAACAGGGTTCTAAAGAGCACATGTAAATAAAGCCCTTTAGTCTGGGCTTCCCAAAGTTTTAAACTCAGATTCTTGAGCTAATCTGCTCAGCCCCACCTGCTGAAATAGCAGGCGCTAGCCACACACACATCAATTCCCCCTCCCGACTCATGTGCTGGTCTCACTGCAGGGCCCTATACATCTGGCCTTCAAATCTGGTTAGTAATTCAGTAAGATCAACGTGGTGATGGTTCCAGATTAGATGAAATCTGTTCTGCATGCCAATTTCTCAGCCAGCAAGCATGGATGACGTCTCACTGGGTGCGCAGGCACTTGCATGCTGGTTTTTTTACTGGCAGTGAGTGGGTGTGGGCTAGGTTCAGGCACTCAGGAGATAACAGGACTCATGCCACGTACCTTGCTCAGCCAGGCCGGCAGCACTCATGGCGGCCGAAGCAGGGGCGGAGCTCTGCCTGCCAACTGATTGGTCAGAATCATTCAGTAAGAGGAGCCGTAGTAAAGCAATAAAGACCAATCAGCAACAAGAGAGCAAGATGCAAGTAAATTAGTGTTAAAGAAAGGTGAGGAGAAAAGAATGTAAAGTTCTGAATTAAAATTTATTTATGTCCTTCAAACACAAAGACAAAACCAAACTGGGCTACAGAGACAGTTTGGGTGGATTCCAAGGACCCAGGAATGACGTTTGGAAAGCCATGGATTTAGTTATAACAAAGTTTTGAGAATCAATTTGCAAGCTATGGATTTCGATGTAAGCAAAGCCAGAAGGAACAAACAGCGGGGTTCTGGTCTGATTTGTTTATTTTAAAGTCAATGAGCCTGTAGTGAAGTGTTTTGGGAAAGGCTTTGGAGGAGGCTGCAGACCCCAACTAAATCTTGTCATGAAGTCATGCATTAACATACAACAAAACCCAACAGGAATAAGAATAGATAAACATCAAATAGAGGAAGAAAGAAACCTCTTAAGCTGGAGGGCATCCATAACAAAGCTTTCTGTGGTAGAAGAACTAAATTCCATAAGAATGGCTAACACAACCAACCCTCTGGCAGCCTGGAATTCTCATCCCCAAATGTGTAGAGTCTGGGGGTGAAAAGCTCTGGCCTCACCCAGAGTCAGGGGTGCTTAAAGGTGAAATCAGACTCTTCAGACACAGCATATCCAGCGACACAGATCTGGGACTGTAATCTGGCCCTCTGTACTGTAGGTTGGGAGGAAACCCGATTTACTGCATTCTTAACCTGCCCAATGCTTTTCCTGGATCTGTCCAAGTACCAGTGAATCAACGGTCACTATGCAGCAATGTAGACTGTTCAAGAGATGTAGAGAACCTAGGATCTTCCAGTCACCTATCCATTATTCACAGGACCATGAATTCAGCAGAGTTCTGGTTCTGCAAGTTTTTTCTAATGCTGACACTCATCGACAAAATGATCAAACCCATCACATAAGAGGGAAGTACCGCTTAGGACACACTTAACGCCATCTAAATTATTTTATGTACACACAGCACTGCCCTATAACACCACATGAGATGCTGGAATAAAAATGAGGTCACTCGTGACTGGTCTGTCTGACTACAGTGCTCACACACATCCACCCTTCTGGGAATCACGCGCTCCAGCACATGGATGGAATCAGCTGAGATAGTGACCACATGTCCTAACGCATGCACAGTTGGGAGGTTACAAGGCTGCATTTATAGAATGGGATATGTAGACCCAGCCTTCCCAATCTGCTGCCCCAAATCCTTCTCCTGTAGTTAGCAGGAGTGGGAGAGGAGAGAGCAAAAGAGAGAGTGTGTCTTTATGGGAAGAACATCCAGAGGGGACTCCAGGTACTGGCATCCAGCCCCATTTGCAGCTTCACAGGTTTTTCTACAGCCATTCTTGTGTTACGTTCCCCTGTCCTTGGAGGTCAGCAAAGAGTAGTCTCCCTGGCAGTGAGCTCCTAGAGCCTAAAAGTCTGCCTTAGAAAACCGAGCATCTTGCCTAGCCCAAGTCTGAACTATAATGCCATGGAAGATTTGATTAAACTAGCCCATGAAAACTTCTGGAACAAGCAACTTGATACCTTATACCTAATCTCCAAACGATCCTCGAGCCATCTGGGGACACACTACACAGAGATGGGCTTCCCAAAACCAAGGAGAGGAAAACATCTTACCAAAATATATTAACATAGTCTAAGCAATTGATAAAGATGAGGACAGATCCTGAGAAGACGCTTTCTGTGGCTGAGCAGACAGCTATTTGTCAAATCATAGTGAGCAGCAATAGGACCAAATGAACTCTAATGGACAAGAGTTGCTAAACCAGAGACAAAAAGGTGGGTCAGACTTTCAGAACCACAGTCACTCAGGAACTAAAAAGGAACCAGGTCTTTATTCTTACCCCAGACAGATGGCAATTTTTCCTGGCCAAAGGAAAATAGAATTCTAAGGAAGAGTGAATTTACCTCCTCTGAAAGAGCTACTAACAGCACCCCTAAAGCAAAGCCGTTTCCCGGTAGGAGAAACTGTTCCCCTTTCCCTATGGAAGAGGGGGCAGAGCTCCTTTCGGTTGCAGACAGAGAACAGAGGGCTCTCACACTAACACAAAGTAGTCCGAGAACAGCCACATGAGAGAAGCAGCAGAAGAAAAAGCAAGAAAAAGCTCAGCTACTGACAAAGAAGATTTCAAAGAAAAAATAATTCCTACCCTCTGACAGTTTAGATGAAGACGCGTTTGTCAAGAACTCAGCTCCAGCCAGCAAGGCCAATCTGATGGCTCTGAGCTCCAGCCGATGAAACCCTCCCTACGTCTCTGCAGCCCCAAATGCTGCTAAAAGGGCTCCCCTGATTCCTTCTGGGCTCACTCCATCCACACTCCTCTTTTGTCACATGGCAACTAGCTCCTCTCCCTCAAACGAACATGAAAGAAGCCAGCAACTGTATATTCTGACCACCTTTCAAAACAAGCATCACCTGTAAGACTCCAATAAACCTTCACATCTTGACTGCATTTTAGACCAAACAGAGTAACGATGACGTCTTCAGGGTCCGGTAATTATCTACTCGTGGCCAAGCTTCAGAGGGCAACTTCCCTTCCCTGACACACTAGCTCCCTGGATACTTTATCAAGAGGGACAGCAGAAGGATCCTGGGAGCTCTGGCCATGTTGTTAGCAGCTGCTGTCACTAGATAATCTGAAGAAGGGGCTTAACAGAAGAAAAATGCCCATCCAAACCATTAGCTACCTGAGGAATCATTCTGTTGGTCACAGGAGAAGGGGCAGAAACAGAAGTCTTCTCCAGAGAAATGAACACAGGATCAACCAGTCCCCCTTAGAACAAAGAATCATCCAGTTACACACCTAGAGAAGCAGGAACACAGGCCTGAGGAGAATTAGAAGAACTTTTTCAACCTGGCATTTTAGAAGAGGTTCCACATTGTTTTACCAAAGACGACACACAACTATAAAGTATGAGAAGTTGTACCTTACTGAGGACCCAAAAGAAATATGCAGGCTCCTGGGATCACTAGAAAGGCTCCTTAGAAACTCCCCCACCCCAATTTTAGGATAAATGTAAGCACTGAAAAGCAGGGTGCTCAAATGCCAAAGGATTTTGGTGAAGAACTGGAATTTGAACTTCCAAGTAAGGAAGGACCTGTACTTCCAAAGTAAGATCTTCCAGTGACATTATGAATGCTATCGAGAGGGGCCCTACACCTGTACACAAGAACCAGATGCAAAGGAAGACCATGAGAATCAAGGTGTTGGCCTCAAACCATAAAAATACTGGCACAGACTCTGTCTGTGAAAGAGGAGGTGATGGTGAAGATGGGGGCTACATGCTGGTATTTAAACATGGTTTTGAGCAGCACCAGCACCACAACTTGTCTAAATGAAGGAGCTTCAAAGATTCTCCCCCCCGCCCCCATATGGAGGTTGCCTCATATCTCAAATTGCCTATCACTTGGAGCTGGGACAAATTCCTCTGATGTCAAGGGAGAGGGACAAAGACAGGCTGGGAACAAATACACTTTCACAGAGGAGTGAGACATTTGTTTCCCTCTGTCCTGCCACCCGGAATATTCAGAAATTTGTCCATAAGCTCATAGGGAACAGGCCCATCTCAAAGAAAGGAGACACAGTGAATGTTGGTGGTAGAAATACTTTTTTCACCTCTCAGTTTTAGCACTGGTTTTCTAAAGGAGCCAGGAAGGAACCTTGGTAAGAAACTTCTAGACCCAGAAATTCTACAAACAGGGAATCTCTTCTCTTTTGAAAACAAGATGTCAAATGGACAGTTAATTTAGCAGCTTTTTATAAATCAAAACCACCAAAACCCCCATAAAAACTTACCCAAAGACTGTCAGAGATGAAGCAATTCCAAATTTGACAGACCAGCACTAAAACAGGAACCAAAAGCACGAGGGGGATTTCAGCACCTCTTTATAGATCCCTTCTGACCTTGCCCTGTAGTGCACTTGTGTAACACATGTCACAGCTCTTAAGTCAAGGCATATAAACACCACTGACTCCACTGCAAAGCTCCAAGAGGTTGTGCACTCTCCAATAATATTTATATATGAAGATACATTTGTGATGGAGAAGACAATTGGTCCTGGTTCATGCCTGAGGCTCCCTACGTACTTCCAATAATACAAATAAATAATAATTTCTCCCTTTGGTGAACACTGGTATTTTATCTCCCTGTATTTCAAACAGAGTGGAATGGCTCTAGAGATTCTCTGGTTCAGTTCTTTATCTGTGTGCTAGGATCATCAATGTTAGCAGCTGCAGGGAACACAGTTGTGGAAGCTATATGTATTAGTTAACTGCTGCTGCAACACTGACAGGGAGGAGACATCTGTTATTTGTCCATCCTATAAAAAGTTTATTTTAAAATAAACTCCTTTGTGATGGAGTGGGGCAAAGGGGTCTTTAAAATAGAGATACTGTATTTAGAATCCAGAGGCCATTTCTCACTAGATCTTAATATATACAAATATCTGAGGCCTAAACTACTTGACAGCATCCTCCTTGAGAGGAAAATTAGTGAGGGAGAAGTGGAGGGGAGTGTTGCCTACTGTACACCTGTTTAACTCTGGAAGGACTTCCACCAAGGAATACAGAGCCTCCGTGACTACAGATGGTGGAATACATTTGAGGAAGAGTGACTATGGAAGAGATGGTCAGCGGACCACCTTCTGTGATCTCATAGGACGACAGCAACCTTCAAAAGATGCCCACTAATACCAATCTCACCTCAACCGCCACTGCTCAGCATAAACCAGGGTGTGCCACCCAAGCCTATCGCAGAGACTCTTAACACTTCTCCTGGATTCACAGGGAGAATATCCCTTCTGCCACTGGATCAGTAACCCAAGGCCTCCATGCGTCGGACACCGGAACACAGTGACCGGGGCATCCCACGACTGAACTGAAATAACTTGTGTAACCATCTGGCATGATGGCAA